ACCCCTATGGTAAACCAGTTCGGTCCAGGAGGCATCAATGGAAACAGCAGCGGGAGAGCACAAGGTCTAGAAACAGGCTTTATGGTTATACATCATGATGATACGTGACTGAAAAATTGTAACTATTAGCAGAACTGATTTTTAATAAATGGTATTACAGGAACTGATAACCATTTAGATGTGGATAACACTGCATCCATATCTTACAGCGTAAAAGAATAAACTCCAACTGAATCAATGATCTAAATGTGAAACATGAAACCACACGGGAAAAACACGGGTGAGTTTCTCCGTAACGTTCATGTGGGGAAAGGCTTTCTAACTGTGACTCAAAATAGAGACATCAGCACTTCTGCTTTCAGCCAAGATGAGCAAGGACTGGATTTACCCTCCCATCTGAAACAACACCAAAAAAACAGAATATTCAAAGCTGTGGTTTTCAAGGCACTCATCACCAGGCAATGAAGGACAGTAACCCAGGAGAGACAGGAAATAAACAAGATGAGCCCAAGCTGCTGCCCTGAGAGTTTCCAGCTGTGGAGAAGGGAAGGGAAACAGACAGTGCTGAAGAGAGTTGACAAGTTGGGGAAGGCAGGAAAGCACAACCCAGAAAGAAAATAATCAATCAACTGAAATGGGCCTAAAACTGACACAGATGTTACAACTGGGACATTTAATAAAGCATTAAAATGGCTGATAACTGTATTCCATATGGTCAAAAAAACTGAGCAGAGACAGAGAAGATACTTTAAAAAAAGACTCAAATTGAAATTCTACGGACAAAAACTACAATATCTTCCTGAGGTGAAAACTACAGCGGACTAGATTAACAGCACCGCAGAAAAACAGACCAGTGAACAAGAAGATATGGCAACACGCTACACAAAATGAAGCACACAGAGAAACAAGAATGAAAAGAAAATCAAGGACACCAGTGAGTTGGGGAACAATTTAAAGCAACAAAACAAATATACATATATATATATATATATATGCACACACATACACACATATATATATACACGTACACATATATACATAAAACAGAAACCACTGAAAGAAGGAATGGGGGAGAAAGGGGAAATACTTGGAAGAAATCATGGTCAAAACTGTCCCAAACTTGATGAAAACCATAAACACACAGACCCAAGAAGTTCAGTGATGCCCTGAGCACAAAAACATAAAGATACAGGTATGTTTCAGAGACATTACAGGTTGGGTTCCAGACCACCAGAATAAAGCAAGTATCATAATAAAGCAAGTTACATGAATGTTTTGGTTTCCCAGAGCATATAAAAGTTATGCTTACACTATCCTACAGTCTACTGACTGTGCAATAGCATTATGTCTAATAAAAAGTAGGTACTTTAATTAAAAACTACTTTACTGCTTAAAAAAATGCCAAGACAACTGCAATAGTAACATCAAAGATCACCAAGCACAGATCACCACAACAAATGCAGTAATAATGAAACAGTTTGAAATACTGTGAGAATTACCAAAATGTAACACAGAGACACAAAGGGAGGAAAGCTGTTGGGAAAATGGAGACAACAGGCTTGCTTAACGCAGGGTTGCCAGACACTTCCAGTTTGTAAAAAATGCTTTATCTGTGAAGAGCAATAAAGTGAGGTGTCCCTTGACATATCGCAATCAAATGGCTAAAAACAAGTGATAAAGAGAAATGTTTAAAAGCAGCAAAGGTGGGGGGGAAATGTTATCTACAGAGGAACAAAGATGAGAATGACATCAGACTTCTCTTGGAAACAATGTAAGCCAGAAGCCAGTGGAGGAAGACATTTAAAGTACTGGAGGAAAAAAAAATCCAGCAATGATCCCTTTAAAAGTGAAAGCAACATAAAGACATTTTCAGATATACAAGAGCTGAAAGAATTCAATATCAACTAAAAGAAATGTTAAAGAAAGTCCTTTGGGCAGAAGGAAAGTGACAGCAGATAAAAATGAGGATCCACACAAAGGAATAAAGGTACCAGAAATGGTTAACTATGTACTTTCTCTCAGTACTTAAATCTCTTTAAAAGATAAACTGTTTAATTAAAAATAACAACTTACATAACAGAGGAGAACAAATCTGACTCCATATTGGATCTGTTCCTTTAGTTTTAACCACTGTGCCCTGTTTTCTAGGCTTAGTCTGCACCTTTTATAAAACAATGTTGCCTTTAGCCTGAAATATCCAGGAGAGCCTGTTCTTGGGGCTCTGACCTTTAAGGATGTTTGCACTTCTGCACGTAACTCAGAGATGGTAAGTTGAAAAATAGAGAATAACCTTTGTTTTGTTGGAGGTTTACAGGGACACCATGGCCTGACTAACATGGACGGCTGCAAGAATAAAGAATTCCTACAGCATGAAGTTTGCAACAATGAACCACACCCCCTCCCCTATTTTTTTTTTTTTTTTAATAAAAAGAGCCTGTATTCTGACTGGAGCATGATGGTTCTCCAAGACATGAGTCTGCCATCCTCTTGGTCTGCCGGCGTTCCAAATAAAGTTGCTACTCCTTGCCCGAACACCTCATCTCCCAATTTATTTGGCTGTCGTGCAGTGAGAAGAACGAGTTTGGACTCAGTAACACTTATAGCAGGATTGGTACCACGCGCAAAAATTAAATGCAACAGTAGTGTAAATACCAAAATAGAGAAACAACAGCAGCTTCCTAGGCTCTAAGTGAAATAGTGTATTACTTGAAGATAAACTATGATAAATTATATACTATAAACCCTACCCTAAAGCACCCACTAAAATAACAAATGTTACAGCTAACAATTCAACAAAGGATATAAAATGGAATCATAAAACAAAGTCAATCAAAAGGGAGGAAGACAAAGAAGATGGAGCAAATGAGAAAGACAGACGACAGACTACAACCTAACCGGTGAGATCAATAATCACATTACATCTAAGTGGTCTAAACACCCCCATTCACAGGCAAAAATTCTCAAACTGGATTAAAAAACAAGACCCAACTATATGCTGCCTGCAAGCAATGTACTTTACATACAAAGATGTAAACAGATTAAACATAAAAGGACAGAATAAGACACAGCATGCCAGCACTACTCCAAGTTGGAGTGACTACAAATATCAGAGATTCCATTTCACAGCACAGAATATTACCAGGATAAAGAAGGCCACTGCACAGTGACAAAGTGGTTAATTAATCAAGAGGACATAACAATCTTCAGCACTTAGGTATCCTTCAATAAAATACATGAAGCAAAAACTGACAGAATTTCAAGGAGAAACAGACAAATCACAATTGCACAACTGCAGGATGCAACTTGTCAGTACCCTCACGACTGACAGGACAAGCAGGCGGAAGGTCAGCAAGGACACAGGATACGGCCCCACACTACCAACTAGAGCTGACTGGCATTTACAGAACGTGCCACCTGATGGAGCAGAACCGGCACCCTTCTCACCTGCACACGGAACTTCTCCAAGGGAGACACTATTTTGGGCCATAGATTTTAAGAGAGTCATTATTCATGCAGTGCTCCTCCCCCAAATTCACAATCTAAATCCCATCATGAAGAAATATCAGGGAAACCTAAATTCAGAGAATTTTACAAAATAATTGGCCTGTATTCTTCAATCATCATAATGGCATTGAGAAATTATTCCATACTAAACAGACTTAAAAAGCATGCAACTAAATGTGATTCATATTTCTGGACTGGGTCCATCATGAGAAATAAAAAATTACTATAAAGGAAATGACTGGGAAGGTAAACTGTAGATTAATGTATTATATCAACAAAAAATTTCCTGAATTCACCAACTGTGCTAAGCATATGTAGGAAAATATTCTTGATCTTTCGAGGTACAACTGAAATGTTACAGGGCAAGGGGGCATACCATATACCTACTCTCAAACGGTTCAGAAAAAAAAAGTTAGTTAAAATGATGGCAATGCAATCAACACAATCCAAGACTCATCAACCAACGGCAACATATGGACTCAATCTGTATTCTCATTGAAAAGGAAAAACTGAAAAACATTTAGAAAACGGTGAAACTTGGAACATTGATATTATACACTAAGAAAGAATGGTTTGTGGGTTATCATCACCCACTTTTTATAAGACTATCATTTAAAGCTACATACAGAAATATAAATAAATTTCTTTAAAAGCCAAGAAAAGGGAGATGTTGTGAGTTTGTAAGTAACAGATGTCAGAGGCAGGTGAGTGGCCACCTAGGTAACGGCTGGAAAACATCCACTAGATCGACCACAATTAGGTCACTGCTCATCTTTACCAACAGATCCAGAAGAGTGGTAAGGACAAAACCAAGACCCCAAGAGCTGGAATGGGAAGTGAGGACATCTTTACTGGAGAATATCTGTCTGTCTTGTTCACTGTGCAAACCAAACACTAACAGAAATACCTGTAGAATGAGCAGGCCATTCCTTAATTTAGGTTTTATTCCTGGACTCAAGAGTCAAATGTAAATGCCTCTATTTGGATCACAGTATTTTGGAGCCTGGGAAAAAAACTACCCGCACCAAGTCCTCCTTGGGCAGCAGGTCCTCGGTTTAGATAAGCAGCGAGTACAAGCCACAGACTGCAGTGATTTAACGGTTGTACTGGCAGAGCTATCCACAACTGCACCAAATTCAACAAACACATGTTTTTCAAGTCCTAGGAAGTCTTTAAGAACCACAAGTAATAAAAAAGGTTTCTTCTTACAGTCAACACACATCACGTAAGGGACGGTACTTTCCTTTTTCTGGAAATGTCAAGAACATCAGCCACATCTGCAGCTCAGCCCCGGGAGCCCTGAACTACGATACTACCTACACACTTGAACTCTACAAAGTCTAGGTGCCAACGTGACTTTGTAACACCCATATTTTACATGATGATGTCTTTTATCAGTGTCCACCTTCCCATTTTAAAGTATGGACCCTAATAAAAACTCTAAAATGCATTACAAAACAAAGTGGGGGAATATATACACAGACAGGAAAACTCACCTGGGACTCATTCATTTTCTGCTGCTCTTGGAAAAGCGTAGACTGTTAACGGTGGACCTAGAGGAAGCGAAGGAAGTAATTGAAGCCGTGAGTCATCTGGCAGTAACCTCCTGCATCAGAACCACCGAAGAAAGCTCAATAAAATGATACCCTATGAATATTCAGAAGACGCGAAAAGGGTGATAAGGGAGAAACACATATCTGAACCCCGGTAACTCCAACATGATCAGGTTACTCTGATTAGTCAGTACAAACACTGACTCTTTTTCATATAGTTTGCCATCATTAAAATGAAGCACAAAAACAAAAAAGTATTTTCTATCTCTTTAAATTTCTTACAATCAAAGATTCCACAGGAAGGGAACATGTGAACTCTGAAAAGTGGAACATATGTGCATCAGGACACGGTATTGTTTTTAAATTACCTGACTCAACTTAGTTACTGCTACACTTAAAAATCTTTTATTAAAGAAACTGTAATAG